TGCTTGCATATATTTTCTTTCACATGACGTTACATTAATCTTTGATCTGTTAAGACTGAACATTTTTAACAGGAACTGGAAGGCGGCATCATATAGAGTGTAAAAGAATTTCAGAAAATAAATAATGCACTTTTGTTTCACTAAAAGTTGTGAATCATATTGTTCATGACAACAAGATACTGATAGTGGTACTTTTACACTTGTATCTGTGTATATTTTAAACTAATATTTCTTCAACTAAGATAAAAAGATGCATGATATTTTGTGGCATCTATTTTGGGACAAACCTATCTACAAATTATAGGCAATACTTTATTTGAAGCATGTAAAGTGATGCTGTCTTTGTGACACCAAGTCATCAAAGCATTCTGTAGGTCAGGTCCTTTTATATCAGTACTTCACATTTAAGCTTCAAGGTCTAATGCAAAGCCAATCTTATGCCCACCAGAACCGAAGTTCTTTCCATCAATATTTGTAGAGAGGGTCAGTGTTACACCTGAAAAATATATTTCCTTATTTAATAAGATTTCATTGATTCATGTAAAGAACTCAGTATGGAGGTTCTCAAGATTAGTAGAAAAAGCAATATGAAGTTATTACATGATATTGTACATAGTAATACTATATATAAATTATGATGCAGAAATACTAATACATTTATTTACAAAGATAACAGTTTTTATTCATCTTACCATCGCGCAGTTTTTGTTGATATCCCAAACCTACTTGGAGATGTGAATTTATTTTAGCTTTAACACTCGCATCTTTGTCAAGATTGTACTTTGTACCAATTCCAAATTGTGTAACATTATTGCTAGAATTCCAAGCAAGATTGATCGCTCCTTGCAAATCTGATTTCACTTTATGATAAATGGAGCCACTGAACTCACGACCATTATCTCTATTGAAATAAAAAATCTATGATAACTATGTGTATAAAACGTTTTTACACAATTTTTATAACCATTCTATTCACGTACACTGCTGTGTGAAGAGCAAAATCAGAGGCAGTGAATCCGAGAGCAAAGTTGTTCTTCGTAAGTTTATTTCTTTGTGTATCAAAACTAGCTTGATAACCAGCAAGCCATCCTGTAATAAAATTGGAATACCTTATAATTAAAAATTTAGTCCATTTATTTTTATCGAGTTATACTGTCTTACTTTTTTTTTTCTGGTATATCTTGGACATTGGGAATAAAACAAGGGGAATCTCAATTGGAATTATAGGGAATCACATGACAGCATGCTTATGAATAATGTTAAATATCTAGACAATAAAAATATTTTCTTGTTCTCTGTATCAACTTTAATATTGTTAATAAAGGATTACCTTGGTATCCTACAACTGTTGATGCATTGATTAAAGGACCAGCAGAAAGGCTAAGGTCAAAATCAGCATTTGCTGACACATTTTCGTGTTTATAAGATGTCTTCAATTTTCCTGTTTTTGTTCTATAACAATATAAGAATTATACTTTGTATGATCTAACTGATAAGACACATAAAATTAAGTCAGTACTCAATATGGAAATGTACTGAAAAGAGAAGATCCCAAGCTTGCAGATTAAAAGAATCATGAAATTTTGAGGTACTCTCCTATACAATTTTATAATATATATAAACATATGTATATTGTAGATGTCCCCAATGTTTCATAAGCTTCCGAATTTCTGGCTAGAAATCTTATCTCATAAGTTAAATCCAATGAAATTATAGAATGAATGTTTTACCCTGTCTGAGGAGAGAATGTACAGCTATAGCCAAGAGTAAGACCCTTGAGCAATTTATCAGCAAAAGTAACATCGGTAGCAAGTGTGTTGTCAGTGTTCCACTTCTCGCTAAATGTTAATCCAAGATCGCTAACTTTGTATTTGGTCTCCAAGGTACCAAATACTTTCCCAGTATCCTGATTAGATACTCCACCACTAGAGAATTCTACGCCAGAGGTAGTTTTAGTTTTGACATCTAACTTAATTAGACCAAAATGATATCCTTGACCAAATATGTCTCTAGCACTTTTGCCCAAGTCACTGTATGTTGGTGGAGCCATGATCTGAGAGGATATATTAAATAAATCCGTAAATGATTTAAGAATAATAATTTTCTTTAAATGATATACACATATTCATAAAATACATGAATGGCAATAACACACAATTACTTGTAAATGACTTTTCGCAAGAAATCAAATTAATAAATATCAAATTATAATTGTTTTGTCTGTTGCGAACTATATAGACCATAATATGTAATTACATATTCATGTATATGTATAGTTCTATAGAATTCTAAAAATAGTAATCCTTAACCACTAGGTACTACTCTATTAAATTTAAACTCTATAATATTATATGATACAATTGGTACAATAAATGTAATCAATATAATTGGTATATATTACTTAAATTCTGCTAATAATTTAACAAACAAAATATTAAATTATAGAATCAAATAAAATTTATTAGATTGCATAATTACAAATATGTATGTGGTTATTAACTGTAGTACAATAGAAACTAACCCTTGTTATAAGATACAGTGTTTAAAGTGACAATGTAACATAACAAATTTTTATAATACATGCATACACAGATAAAAATCATAGAAGAAATT